GACTTGGCTATTTAAATTATGCAGAAGACTTTTTTCACTCATTAAATAAGCTGATTGTGTAATTCCAGGGTTGTCAAGAAAATTTGTAATGAAATCATGGGTGCAAAATGCACAAAATCACATCATTTGTTAATATTTTACTTTTATGATTTTTTAAATGTTTGTTACTTAAAAATGTATAATGTAATATTTCTTAGGGGGTTTTTGGGGGGTTGTTTGTTTTTTGTTTTAGGTGTGTGTGTGTGTGTGTGTGTGTGTGTGTGTGGTGTTGGCAATAGAACTCAGGGTCTCATGCACTCTAGGCAAGTGCCCTGCCACTGAGCTGCAGCCCCAGTACTTCAGGTTCTTTTAAACCAAGACTTGCTACCCAATGTCCCGTTGGTCAAATCTCACCTGTCACCTATTTCTACAAAAGTAGATAAAGGAAAAGAAAGTTTTTTGGAACACAGCCTCGCCTTTGGTTTACAGAGTCTATGGCTGCTCCCAGGCTACAGAGCAACCCTGGCAGAGTAAGGAGAGGGACCAGCTGGCCCACAAAAGCTGAAGTGTTTCCTGTTGACCTTGTGCAGGAAAAATGGGCCCAACATGACCAGGGTCCCCTGCTCCTGGTCCCCACTGCTCTCTCTGCCAGCTTCCCTGACCCCCAATCACGGGCAATGTCCAAGTCAGGTTGCACTGCCCGCCCTCAGCAGGTGCCCAGCCCCCGTCAGCTGTGAGAAGGGGACACAGGCTGAGGACACACCTGGTCACTGCGGGAAACTCTGTAGCGCAGCGCGTTCACAAAGTGCCCACAGTTGTTGCTGGTCACGGAATAGGAGACTACCTTCCCGACCATTTGCTCTGCCTGCTGGACAATGTTGGGGGGGGCGGCAGTGGGTCATACTCCTCATCATTCTTCTTATTGACCCGGTATGCATCTCCTCCAGCCACCACGGACAGCAGCTCCTTCGTCACTATGGCTGTGTCACCGAGGACAGTGAAGCTGTTGACGCCACTTCCTGCCACTTCACCTGTGGAAACAGTGGACTCAGGCCTGGGCAGGGCCACAGTGGCTCAGAGCTGGCCCCCAGCCAGAGAGCCTCAGTGCCAAATTGGGAGAGAAGTGGTTTTCACAAAGTTTCGTCCCCCTCCCCTGGACAGCGTCCTCCCCCAGGACTCGTTCCCAGCTGGAGCAGTGCTGTAAGCAGCCCTCCATCCAGGGGTGGCTCAGGACAGTTGCAATGCTTTTCACTGCCCGCCCTCTCTACCTGGGAAATCTTAGTGTCCTGGGGCCTGACTCAGGCATGTCCTGGATTTCCTCTATCATTAATTCCTTTCATATGATTCACATGGGAGGTCCTGGAGTCCAGTGTTGAATGATTCAGAACTAAAATTAGAAAATGAAAATGATACCTTCAAATATGCTACTAAGAAATTCACTGAAACCATAGTTGAAATCAGGGGAAACTCTGTGAGCACATGGAGTGTTTCTGTAGTAGCATTATATGAGACAGAGGGTAGGTGTGCACATGGTATAGACCAATATTCACAGAAAAGGAGTCATTCATATTTATTTGGGAAGAGAATTTGTGAAAATTTTTATCAAATTTATAAAAATGTATTAGGCTTTCCCCTGTTTAAAGCACTGTTGATCACCTGACATTGTGCCAATGCCAAGATGACCAGAATAATCACGATATTCCTAACACACTATCTGGGAGCACACACTCTCTCTCTCTGTCTCTTTCACATTGGATTATTCATTATTTGAGGTAATAAAATATACAAAGATTTCCAATCCAAGGGAGCTGGATGCTGCAGCCTGGGATATCTCTCATCCCCAATAAAAACATATGACTTTGAAAGGTATAAAATATTCCTCCATAAGTGAATTTTTCAGGAAATTCCAAAGCCAATCATGAGAAAAAGTAGATATTATTTTTTGTCAGCACACCCTTTCTTTAAGTGGAAATCTCTGAATTAGAAAAATCCATGACCAAAAAAAAAAAGATCCAAGGCCTAAAATAAAGTTCTAACAACGCATTAAATTCTCTTCAGGGAAGACAGCCTGACATAAGCAGTTGAGCTTCAAGACTCCATAACAAAGGGTTTTCAATAGCCTAACTGCTCCACAGAAGGAACTGAAGCTCTTACTGTGGAAAA